TTGATAGGGAGATTGAGTTCACCGTTGATGTAATTCCGGGTACACAGCCAGTATTTAAAGCTCCTTATCGAATGGCTCCGACTGAACTAAAAGAATTGAAAGTGCAACTGCAAGAACTGTTAGATAAGAAGTTCATCAGGCCCAGTACTTCGCCGGGGCGTACCTGTCTTGTTTGTGAAAAAGAAAGACGGCTCGTTGAGACTTTTTATCGACTACCGCGAACTGAACAAGGTAGCTGTGAAAAATAAATATCCATTGCCACGTATTGATGACTTATTTGATCAGTTACAGGGTGCTCAAGTGTTCTCTAAGATTGATCTCAGATCCGGATACCATCAGCTGAAAGTTAAACCAGAGGACATTGACAAAATTGCTTTTCGAATGAGGTATGGACATTACGAATTCCTAGTTATGCCTTTCGGAGTTACCAATGCACCTGCTGCATTTATGGACCTTATGAACAGAATTTTTAAACCATTCATCGATGACTTTATTGTTGTATTTATAGATGACATTCTGATTTATTCTAAAAGTAGAGAAGAACATGAACATCATCTTACCTTACAGACCCTAAGAGAATAGAAACTATATGCGAAATTGAGTAAATATGAATTCTGGCTTGATCATGTTATGGTTTTGGGACATGTTATTAGTAGAGATGGCATTTCAGTAGACCCACAGAAAGTTGAAGCCGTGGTAAATTGGCCTAGACCAACGAATGTTACAGAAGTCCGAAACTTTTTGGGGTTAGCCGGGTATTACAGAAGATTTGTCAAAGACTTCTCCAAAATTGCCTTACCACTGACATAGTTGACTCAGAAGGGGATATCATTTGAATGGATCGACCAAAGAGAATCAGCATTCCAAGAGTTGAAAACTCGACTTGTGACTGCACCGGTTCTTACCCTACCTTCAGGTACGGATGGTTTTACCATTTTTAGTGATGATTCTCATAAGGGTTTAGGATGTGTTTTAATGCAGAATAAGAGAGTTATTGCTTATGCTTCCCGACAACTGAGACCGCATGAAAAGAACTACCTGAACCATGATTTAGAATTTGCTGCAGTAGTGTTTGCACTGAAAATCTGGCGTCATTACCTTTATAGGGCGACATGTGAGGTGTATACAGACCACAAGAGTTTGAAATACTTCTTCACACAGAAAGAACTAAATATGAGGCAGTGGAGGTGGTTAGAACTGATAAAAGACTATGATCTACAGATTTTGTATCATCCGGGGAAAGCTAACACCGTTGCCGATGCACTGAGTCGGAAATCGATTGGAAACTTAGCCTGTTTACTCACCGGAAAGAAAGAGTTGCTTTGTGACCTTGAGAAATCTAAAATTGAGATTGTTTCGCGAGAACAAGGTGAAACAATAGCTGCTATTTCTGCTCAACCGGCACTGATTGAAGAAATTAAAGAAAAACAGCAACATGATGACTTCTTGAAGAAGATTATCGAAGAACAGGAATCCAAACCGAAGCCGGACTTCAAATTTGAAAGTAATGTATTGAAATTCCAGGGAAGATTATGTGTACCGAATGATTCTGAACTGAAAAGAAGAGTTCTGCAAGAGGGCCACAATTCGAAACTGTCTATCCATCCAGGGAACACGAAAATGTACCAAGATATGAAACAGAATTTCTGGTGGCCGGGAATGAAGAAGGAAATTGCCGACTTTGTGTCCAAATGTCTTCATTGTCAACAGGTCAAAGCTGAACATCAACGACCTGCCGGACTATTGCAACCCTTACCCATACCAGAATGGAAATGGGAGCATATCACCATAACATTGATCATTTTGACATAATATTGGGAATGGATTGGTTACAAAAATATCATGCCACTATAGACTGTGTAACGAAACAAGTAGTTTTCCGTCCACCTGGTCTACCTGAATTTGTGTTTAATGGGGTTGGAGTAGTACCTCCCCCGTATCTGATTTCATCTGTGAAAGCTGTTAAACTGATTAGAAAGGGGTGTAAAGG